GGGGCAGGGAGCTCTGGTGGCACGGGTCTGAGCGTCGAGGAGGCAGGGGGTGGTGGCACGGGTCTGAGCGTCGAGGAGGCAGGGAGGGACTTTGGGGGGCAGGGAGGTATCAGTGACATTAGGGTGCAGGCTCTCATTCCTGCTTGGGAAATCAGGGAAGACGGAGGACGGGACATGGCCCAAACAGGGGAGGCTGGAGGAGGGGGCACAGTCTCCCTCTCTTCTCTCCCAGGGGTGGGGTGGCAAAGGGGGAATTGGCCTGTGATTTTAGGGTACCAGTGAGGGGCACTGTTGGGGGCTGGGGCTGGAAGGAGGAGAGGAAAGAGGGTCAGGATGGTCCTTCAGTGGTGCATCAGGTGAGGGGTTCTCTGGGGAGAAAGGATCTGAGAGCCCTTTTCTTGTCCCTCATATCTCCACGTTCTGCTCCCGATCATGCTCCTGCTTTCCCTGAGATCCCAGATAAAAGATGTTTACTTTTTGTGCCGTGCTTTTTCAATCTATAAAGTAGGGGTACTGCCACCTTTATTAAATAGTGGCTCTAAGGCACTCGAGAGTTCTGCACAAGGTCGCTTGTCGCGCGCTGCGAACGCTCGTAGCCGATTGCAGGAAGGTGGTACCTGCATGCTGGCTGGGTTGAGTGTAACTCTTAATTAGCTTTAAAAGCGCTTGTAAAAAAACCCTGGGTGAAAGGTAAAGGAGCATGCAGAAGTAGGTGGCAGGACCTTGAAGCAAGAGACCTAATTTTCTTTCACCTGCTTCCCTCCTTTGTTTTGTTCTACCAACCTGTGGCATTTTTTCCTTCCTCGTTGGCTAGCTCCAAGTTCTGTTGTTACAACCAACAAGGATGTTGTTACGTTGAACTGTTCCTCTCCAGATGAGTTTTGACCTCCCCTTTTTCGTGTGATCAAAAGGCCTCCTGGCCTCGCTGTATTTCCAAAAGTTTGCGTGCACTGACTCCACCTCAGATGTTGTTTAACAGCCCTATTTTTTTATGATCAGAGAGCCTCCAACCTAGTTACAGAAACCAATGAATTAAAGTTCAAAACCTGTTTACGAGGTAGGTGTGTTTTAGTGTCCCTGGATGGAAAATCAAGGCACAGGGAGGAAAAGCGGCTGAAGATGCAGCTTGTCAGTGGAGCAGGAGCGAATACACACCCTCTGTGAGGATCCCATCTATACTTTTCCCAAAGCATCTGTCTGTCATTGACTGTATTGTATCTGCGTGGCTCCAAACAGCGTCCCGGTGTAACTTCTCTCAGCCTTGGCCACCTTCCCCTTCGACAGCTGTGCTGGGAGGCCTCTTGCACGCGAGTGACGATCGTGTTTGCGAGAAGGAATTGGTCCGTTGAGCCCTCACGTGTTGGGAAAGCCCCTGTGAACGGACCGTGGGTGGGCAGAGGCAAAGCAGGCTTTGGACGTGCCGTAGGGTCCTGGTAACGTCCATCGTGACGATGCAGAGGGATCCGAGCGCAGAAAGAGGATGCAGCTGTGGCCACCCCGTAAATCGGAGTCCCAAGGCCGGTAGCAATGTTGATCTCTTGAACCGGTGATCTGCTGGTTGAAGCAGCCCATGCCTCGTTTCTCGTTCCCGCTCCGCTTGGCTCTCCTCCTGCCGTCTCTCTTCGTGCAAACTCCCTCGCTGCCTTCAGTGGAGAATCCCTTTCCCCTCCTGGTACAAACGTGCTCCAGGCTGTGCTGAGGTGGGAGTTTTCTCCGTGACTTATCCTGTGTCAGCCAGGGATACAAGAGGAGGCTTTCAGGAGGGATGTGTTGGCAGGTTCCCTCCGTGCCCTGCTAAGCTGGTGCAAGTATTGCCTTGTGTGTGATGGTGATGGGGCATGCCCTGGCATTTCGCTGTGAGCAGGACGAGGTGAGCCAGTAATTTAGTTTTAATTCTCAGATCTCTGGCAGCAGCAGCAGCAAAGCCTCTGATCTGTGACGGGAGAGAGCTCGGGGTGTGATTTGTGCACTCCCGGATTCACACCCTCGTTGACAGTGTCAACGATATGCTTTGTTACTGAATCAGGGACGGGCTTTATTGGTGGTGGAGAAAGCCCGCTCCTGATGTGCCAGTGGGGTTGTAATGACTTTGTTGTTGTTCCTCAGGAAGGTTAAAGAAAAACTTTGTCTGGGGTGTTTAGAAAAACTACCTTCCGTTTTGGGAGGGAGGGGATGAGAAACCTGCTGTAGCTTTAACGTCCTGCTGTGAAAGTGAAGTTACTGCGTGCGGTTTTATGGCCCCCACTAAAGCAGAGGGCTGGGTGCTGGATCTGCGCTCCTTCCCTCGCCGGCTGACCGTTGGGCAGGCTTGTCTCAGCTCACGTCTCGGCCCCCCTGCCTGTAAACCGAGGGCAATCGCTTTCTTCAAGGCGGGCTGGGAGTTTTATATCACTGACCGCAAGAAAGAGCGATCCTGATGCGAATGATGCTCCAGTGGAAGGGACTGGGGTTATTTTTCTGCATCTCGCACTCATGCCCTCCCCTGGATGTACCTGGGCTGCTCGGCGGCGTAGGAAACGCCCTGCACTCTCATGCTAGTGTGCCGGGAGCCTCGGCTTTTGGGGCAGGGGATTTGCTTTCTTTTTTCATCCTCTTCTGAGCAGCTGCAGCTCCCGGTGCTGTGTCAGACCCGGGAGGTGCAGGAGGGCGTGCGGTCACTGGGTGGGATTCACTCTCTGCCCTGAACTTGCCGGCTTGCCTGCCGAGCTGCCCCTCTCGGCGAGGGGCTGGCGATGCCGGGTTCATTGCCGGGGCTCGGCTACCTCACAAGTCATCCCGTGTTGGAGGTAGCAATACGAAACGGGGCTTTTCCATTGGGGTGGGAGGAGCAGCTGAGCCGGGGTAATGTCAGGGAGGGTACATGGGTTCAAGTAGCATCATGTTCACAACATCTTTGTTTAATATGTTAGTCCAGTTAGTCTGCATAACTGTGTCTAAAAATAGAACATATTTTCTCTTAAGTCCTCTAGTTCAAAGCCTCATAAGCCATTTTTTTTTCCAGCGTTGGTCTCTTACTGCTCTCCTGAGCCTGAAATTCGTACAGGGCTATTTGCAAAGTTATCAGGAAAACCAAGAAGAGTGGCTGAACTCTGTCGAATCCTTAAGTTTCAACCACCCGAGAGGGAAGTTCATTAAAGTTGCAGTAACTTTCTGGCAGGCTCCTAAAGGTGGATTAAGCAAGCTGAGTAAACAAGCCACCTTATGGGCACCATAGACCTTTTTCTAGCATCAACTTCATGGATTGTCATAAAAGCTCAGGGTCATCGGCCTCTGGCTGCGGGTGACATAAGGCAAAGGTGACATCCTGGTGCTCAAAGCCTGGTGAGAGGTCGGGGCCGTCTCTGTTGGGACACCCGAGGTTTTGCTCTACCTCCCGGTTTGCAGAAGCTGCCGGAGCCCGGGGGGAGACGGCTGCCATCACATGTGGCGGCTGCCTCCCCGCAGCACGAGGGGAGTCACCCCAGCCTATGGTTTCAGCATGCGGTAGAGGGAGTGTGTGTTTAAATTTCAGAGCTGTCACTGGATCCGACCCAGTTCTCCCAGCGGCATAAATATCTGGCCTTCATCACAGCCGTGGAAATTCGCGTTGTGTTCTCTTGCAGATTACTTCGGTTTTCAGCTCTCCGTGCTGACATGGTAACTGAGCGGTGGCTTTCAGCGACACGCAGACGGGGACAGCTGCTCCAGAGAGGTAACCCTTCCCTTTCACACGCGGGCGATCTACCAAAGCACTTATCCTACACATGTTTTTAAAAACTTGGGTTAGGAAAGAGCCTAGGAAGTGTGGCTTACTTTCAGCAAGTTTCTCTTTTGTCCACGTGCTTAAACTTCCTAAATTTCATTTTAAATTTAAATTCTATGCCTTATTTTTGTTCAGTTTCTGAATACAATCTTTATGGATTATGCTTAGGAGTATGCTGTGAGTGTCGTGGTCTAATCCTGTTCTTCTAAGCCGACTGTTACTTTCAAAGTATAGGAACGTAATATTTAATTATTTCACTGATTTTTTTTTTTTTTTTTTTTTTTTTTTTAAAATTGAATT